TACAAAATTAAATTAAAATAAAAATCAAAAATGACATCTGGAGTCCCCCCAAATATTTAGAAATGGAATAATACCTTTTAAGCCATGATTTATGGTAAATAAGAAAATATTTTAAACTGAGTGTTAGTGAGAAAACAACATATCAAAAGTATATGGGATGAAGTTAAAGCAGTGCTTAGAGGGAAATTTATAGTGCAAACTGTTTATTTTAGAGTAGAAAACAGACTTTAAAAATCAATAATCTAAGTTTCCATCTTGATAAGCTAGAAAAATAACAAATTAAACACAAACTGAGTCACTTTGTGTGACTCACATGATAATAAAGAGAAGAAATAACAATAAAGATATAATAAAGAGAAGAATGGGAATCAATATGATGGAAAATGGAGAAATAATAGGAAAGTCATTTAAATCAAAAGCCAGTTCTTTGAAAAGACAATAAAATTAATAAACAAAAACTACTAATCAATTTAATCTAATTGACATTTACAGAATACTAAATAATTTATGGAATACTAAAGCAAAGGAGAAAAGGAAGGATATTCCCATTTGAATGCAGAGTTCCAAAGAACAGCAAGGAGAGATAAGAAAGCCTTCCTCAGTGATCAATGCAAAGAAGTAGAGGAAAACAACAGAATGGGAAAGACTAGAGATCTCTTCAAGAATATTAGAGATATCAAGGGAACATTTCAGGCAAAGATGGGTTTGATAAAGGACAGAAATGGTATGGACCTAACAGAAGCAGAAGATATTAAGAAGAGGTGGCAAGAATACACAGAAGAACTGTACAAAAAAGATCTTCACAAGCCAGATAATCACAATGGTGTGATAACTCACCTAGGGCCAGACATCCTGGAATGTGAAGTCAAGTGGGCCTTAGAAAGCATCACTATGAACAAAGCTAGTGGAGGTGATGGAATTCCATATGAGCTATTTCAAATCCCGAAAGATGGTGCTGTGAAAGTGCTGCACTCAGTATGCCAACAAATTTGGAAAACTCAGCAGTGGCCACAGGACTGGAAAAGGTCAGTTTTCATTCCAATCCCTAAGAAAGTCAATCCCAAAGAATGCTCAAACTACTGCACAATTGCCCTCATCTTACACGCTAGTAAAGTAATGCTCAGAATTCTCCAAGCCAGGCTTCAGCAATATGTGAACCGTGAACTTCCAGATGTTCAAGCTGGTTTTACAAAAGGCAGAGGAACCAGAGATCAAATTGCCAATATCCGCTGGGTCATCGAAAAAGCAAGAGAGTTCCAGAAAAACATCTATTTCTGCTTTATTGACTACGTGAAAGTCTTTGACTGTGTGGATCACAATAAACTGTGGAAAATTCTGAAAGAGATGGGAATACCAGACCACCTGACCTGCCTCCTGAGAAACCTGTATGCGGGTCAGGAAGCAACAGTTAGAACTGGACATGGAACAACAGACTGGTTCCAAATAGGAAAAGGAGTACGTCAAGGCTGTATATAGTCACCCTGCTTATTTAACTTATATGCAGAGTACATCATGAGAAACACTGGGCTAGCAGAAGCACAAGCTGGAATCAAGATTGCTGGGAGAAATATCAGTAACCTCAGATATGCAGATGACACCACCCTTATGGCAGAGAGTGAAGAGGAACTGAAAAGCCTCTTGATGAAAGTGAAAGAGGAGAGTGAAAAAGTTGGTTTAAAGCTTAACATTCAGAAAACTAAGATCATGGCATCTGGTCCCATCACTTCATGGGAAATAGATGGGGAGACAGTGGAAACAGTGTCAGACTTTATTTTTTGGGGCTTCAAAATCACTGCAGTAGTGACTGCAGCATGAAATTAAAAGACGCTTACTCCTTGGAAGGAAAGTTATGACCAACCTAGATAGCATATTAAAAAGCAGAGACATTACTTCGCCAACAAAGGTCTGTCCGGTCAAGGCTATGGTTTTTCCAGTGGTCATGTATGGATGTGAGAGTTGGACTGTGAAGAAAGCTGAGCACCGAAAAATTGATGCTTTTGAACTATGGTGTTGGAGAAGACTCTTGAGAGTCCCTTGGACTGCAAGGAGATCCAACCAGTCCATCCTAAAGGAGATCAGTCCTGGGTGTTCATTGGAAGGACTGATGCTGAAGCTGAAACTCCAGTACTTTGGCCATCTCATGTGAAGAGCTGACTCACTGGAAAAGACCCTGATGCTGGGAGGGATTGGGGGCAGGAGGAGAAGGGGACGACAGAGGATGAGATTGCTGGATGGCATCACCAACTCGATGGGCATGAGTTTGAGTAAACTCCGGGAGTTGGTGATGGACAGGGAGGCCTGGCGTGCTGTGATTCATGGGGTCGCAAAGAGTCTGACACGACTGAGCGACTGAACTGAACTGAAAGAATACTAGAATGATTAAGAAAAAGAAGACACCAATCACCAATGTGAAGAATGAGAGAAGAGCCATCACTGTGGATCCTACAGGCATTCAAAGAGGATAATTAGGTAATATTACACAAAGATTAAGCCAATAATTTCAACAACTTTATAGCTATTACAAAAACTGAATTTTTCATTAAAAACTTCCCACACAGAAAACACCAGGCTTCACAGTTTATTTATAATTGGAGGATAACTGCTTTACAATGCTGTGTTGGTTTATGCCATACATCAACATGAGTGAATCATAGGTATATATATATATGTCTTCTCCTTCTTGAAATTCCTTCATATCTCCCACCCCATGCCACCCCTCTAGGTTGTCAAGGAGCACTGGGTTGAGCTTCCTGCATCATACAGCAAATTCCCACTGGCTACCTATTTTGCATACATACACTGGTAAGATGTATGTATCAATGTTACCCTTTCAATTTGTCCCATCCTCTCCTTCCTCCACTGTGTCCATAAGTCCGTTCTCTATGTCTGCATCTCTATTGTTGCCCTACAAATAGGTTCATCAGTACCAGTTTTCTAAAGATTCTATATATATGCATTAATATACAATATTTGTTTTACTCTTTCTGACTTACTTCACTCTGTATAACAAACTTTAGGTTCATCCACCTCACTAGAACTGACTCAAATTCATTTCTTATTATGGTTGAGTAATATTCCATTGTGTATATGTACCACAACTTCTTTATCCATTCATCTGTTGATGGACATCTAGGTTGCTTCCATGTCCTGGCTATTGTAAATGGTGCTGTAATGAACACTGGGCTAACATGTGTGGAAGACAATATTTGTAAGATATCAATTCTCCCCAAATTGATCTATAGATCCCAAATAATCTCATTTTGTAGAAATTAACAAGTTGATTCAAAAAAGTACATAGAAATGTAAGGGACCTAGTGAAGCAAATGGAGAAGGCAATGGCACCCACTCCAGTACTCTTGCCTGGAAAATCCCATGGACAGAGGAGCCTGGTGGGCTGCAGTTCATGGGGTGGCTAAGAGAGCAACTTCACTTTCACTTTTCACTTTCATGCATTGGAGAAGGAAATGGCAACCCACTCCATTGTTCTTGCCTGGAGAACCCCAGGGACGGAGGAGCCTGGTGGGCTGCCGTCTATGGGATCGTACAGAGTCAGACACTACTGATGCGACTTAGCAGCAGCAGTGAAGCAAAAATAGTTTTGAGAAAGAACAAATCTGAAGACCTAATGCTTCTTATTTTCAAGACTTAATGGAAATCTCTATTAACATACAATGTGGTTTTGGTTTAAGGGGAGGGAACATCAACAGACCCATACAGTTATGTGAGATTGACCTCTCACAGAAATGTCAAGGTAGTTAAAGGGGGAAACAATTGTCTTAAATAAATGTGCTATAGCAATTGAATGTCTATGTGAAAATAATTTAACCTAAATCCTTACTTCATACCTTACATAAAGATTCAAAATGGACCAAATATCTAAATGTAAAAGCTAAGCTCATAATTTATTTAAGACACACTGAAGACAGTCTTTGCAACCTTATGGTAGGAAAAAATTTTAAGGTAAGATGTGAAGGCACAAACCATAAAAAAATTTACACATTATATCTTATCAAAACTAAAAGACACAATTAAGAACAAGCCACAGACTAGAAGAAAATATTCATAAAACATATACTTGAGCAGGGATTTATAGCTAGTATTTATAAATAACTTACAACTTTATAAATTTAAAAAGAGTAAATAGGTAAAATATTTGTTTAGGTACTTCACACACAAAAAATATCTCTATGGGTACAGTTAAAAAGACTGACAATGCCAAGAATTGATGAGGACGTAGAACAACTGGAACTCTTACATTCCTGGTGGGAAAATAAATGATACAATCACTTTTAAAACAGTTAATTCAATCAATTTCTTATAAGGTTTTCTTGTTTGTTTTTGTTTAGTCACTAAGTCATGTCCAACTCTTTCGTGACCTCATTATAGCCTGCCAGGTTCCTCTGACAATGGGATTTTCCAGGCAAAAATACTAGGGTGGATTGCCATTTCCTTTTCCAGGGAATATTGCAGATCCAGGGATTGAACTCATGTCTCCTCCATTGGCAGGCAGACTCTTTACTGCCAAGCCACCAGGAAGCACTCTTAATAGGTTAAACATATATTTATCACATGACCAGATATTTCACTCTTAGGCTTTTTATCCAGGAGAAATGAAAACACATGTCCACATATAGCTTGTCTGTGAATGTGCAAAGAAGTTTTATTCATCATAGTTGAAGACAGCAAAGATCCAAATATCCATCAACAAATGAGTGGATAAATAAATGATGGTATATTCATACAATGGAATGCCATTTGGCAATAAAAAAGAAATGAACTGAACTATACACTTACAAAGAATTCATTTTATTTTATGCAAATTATTTTTTAAAAATCAAACCACCCGTAAAGAGTAAGGTGTAAACTGCTAATTTTTTGTTTAGTTCTTTCATGTGCAACTTCTTTTTTAACATCAAAGTGTTCTACCTCAAAGCAGTATGTCTTTTCCTGTGCTGCTTTTCCTCATTAAAATTTTAAATCTAGCAAAATATGCTACTTACCAATATAGTTCTTTGACATGGCAACTTCTCTGACTTCAATGTGAACAGAGCCTCTTGGTATCTGCACTACTTCCATATAGCCTGGAACACAGAAGATTACCAGTAATAAGCAGCATCTGGAGCTTTCATCAGAAAATGAGTGTTTAGTAACCATTCAGCAGTTAAGTTTCCTTATTCTTCCATTCTTTCTATGCACTTTATAAATTATAAGTAATGAGTAAATTCCCCTTTGGGTTCATGAATACATCTAGAGTATTATTTTTCTCTAAATCATCTCAAAATATCTTCAAAGCCTCAAAACATATAATATTGGTTCATGCCTTTTTTTTTCTTCCTCAACACAGGCTCTATGGGAATTCCCATCTTAAAGAAACATTACTAAATGAAGCCAAGTAGAAATGGAATAATATTTCCTTAAAACAACTAATCTGAAGCCACATTTAGTACTTAAAAGATTGAATGCAATTTGGGGAGAAATCACTGTCTGCTTAAATAAAGAAATTTTTAAAATAAGGGGGAAATCAAGTAATTTGTCTATTTCAAGTACACCAGAGGTGTGAGGAAGAGTTCTTTCTACACACTCACCTCCTCTGGGCAACGAATCATTGAAGAACCCTTCAATGGCATCACATGTGCTTCCATCCCCTCCACAGACTCGACATCTATCTTCCCTAGCATCGGATCCCAAAATATTATCACAACCTACGTGCTGAAAACAGAGAAGAATATTCAGTGTGCCAAAAGCAGGAACTCTGGACCCACTAGCCAAACGAGTGCAGCCTACTTGTCCACTTCCTTTCCAGCAAAGGAGGTCTAAACAGGAAACGTGAACCGCTTCTACCTTCATTCTCTGGTAATTCTAGCTAGCATTTCTCAACACATAATTTGAAAGAAAAATATTCTGATTCCCCAGGAATGTATACCTACATTTCTAGACTAGATTTCTTCTTCATTTATAGATACCATGCTTCAATTCTTAAAATATTATAATTTGTTGGCAATGGGCTCTTATTTATAACCTCAATTAATTAAGAAAAATGGCATATGGTCCTATACAACATGGGTGATAACAACAAGAGTGTTTACTGAGCATTATGGTTTGCCCTTTCTAAACCACTGACCCTTTAGGATATCCAATTGTTAGTATTAGTGTCAAAGACTAGCTGTGGAATTGGTGCCTAGGTAAATCCCTACAAGTGAATACCTGTTTCCATCAACTGAATAAAATTATCATAAAGAAAAAGATGCAAACATGTAATTTTAGAATCTGAAAGTCTACCTTTCTGTTTTGCATTTAATCATAGAAATACAGTTTGTATCTATATTTTTGGCAAATTTTGGCACTTTATTTGTAACTTGTCTTTTAGCCATTAATACTAGGCATGTAGTCTCGGAATATAACCTGTGCCAGGGTCTTTTTTATCTGAAAAACATTTTTATACTATCCCAGAAACAAGTTTTTCTTCAAGTAAATACATAAATACACACACACACACACACACACACTGTATCATCTGATACATAAGATACATTTGGAGGCAAGTTAATAAAGACAGAATTTGCAAGAAATTATAACATTAATTAAAGTAGACAGTGGTTTTTCTTTGTTTTTAAATCTTATCTTTCTCAGTTTCTGGCATTCAGTTTATACTTATCTTTAAGGTAAAACAAAAGCAGACAAGGAAAAAAGTTAAGAGAATAGTGGCTTTTGTGGCTTTTCTTACGATAAGATTCATACACAGTTCTAGGAAAACACCATGGATTTGCTCCTGCAATTTCCAACTGACTGGTCTGGCTAATTCTCTGAAGTAAACGCTTTAAAAAGGTAAGATTAATTCTATAATGAAAACCACTATAAATGCTTCAAAAGAAGACAAAATGAGCAGAGCATAGCTATTTTACATTTTGAGGAAATATTTTGCTATGAAATACATCAAATATTCTTTCATTGAGAACACACAGTGGCCATACAAATAAGAATTGAATCCTCATTCCTTCTCTTTTGCTATCATCTTGTTTATAAACAGAACATAAGAATAATGAAAATTAAATTCCAAAATATTTTCATAGCTCTAGCAATTCCTATAACTAGAACACCAGAATAAATCACACTTGCAAGGTGCTTGTGAATGGATAATTCTACCTTTAACTGTGTACATTTCTTATAGAAAATCAAATGAGTCCAGAATACTGCTCTCTGTATTAAAAATTAGCACAGTATTAATTAGGAGCTACTATCTGAGAAAAAAAGATAACAGCCTCAAAAACCCCGACAAAAATGGAGTGAGATTCAAAATCTGAGCAACCTTGCATTCTCCATTGATACAGATATCCAGTGAATCCGCATTGCACTGAGTCCCATCAATCACCGCAGGGGAACGTTCAGTGTAGAAATTGTAACCTTCAGCCAAGCAGTTCAATGCACAAGGTTTTACCCCACCTGGAAGAGTAATAAATGGAGAGATAGTAGAAGAAAGTAAATGGAGTGTTCCTAAGGAACAGTGATTCAATATTATCCATGGCAAATTTATGATTGATATAGACATCACTCTCAATTCTATCGCTTTCTTTGCTAAAATTTTATGTTTATTTGCATTGCTTGTGCAACTTGACGGAGGATCTGCTGAGTAATATTATGGTTTTAAAATTTCAGGTATTTCCCATATATATTTTCAATATATTTCAGGTCAAAAGGGATCATAGTGGAGGTAAGTAAATATTGAAAAGAAATGGAGGAAATAAAAGCAATTTTTAAAAACTAAAAAAAAAAAGTTTAAGAAGACCTTGAGAATGACCTCGTAAGACAAATACAAATTTATGCAAATGATATCACTTGTTACTGAAGATGATTAAAAAACTGGTACTTCAGGCAGAGATACGGTAATTGTAAAATTAAACTTAAACCTGCTTTAAACATATCAGGGGCTTCCCTCACAGCTGGAGTTTAAGACTCTGTGCTTCCACTGTAGGGGGCGCAGGTTAAGTTGGGGGACTAAGGTCCCACATGCTGCCTGGTGCTGCCAAAAAGTAAAAATTAAAAACATAAAATAAATAAATAAATATATTCCATGAATATGGCTTTAGCATGGAGATAAATTCTTATGAGATCAGTAAATCAAAGATAAAAATATATTAAATTTGAATAATTCTATGAGATCAATAAATTAAAGAAATATTGCATAGCATCATATGTGTTTTATCTTAAATAAACTGAATAAAAACTTAAAAATAAACTTTAATTAAAAATCTAAAAATAAATAAATGAATAAAAACCTAATTTTATACTGTGAATAAATGCATATAGTAACTCAAGCATTTTTATTTTGTCACTGAAATCTGTATTTCAATGGTTGTATGTATTTTTCAAGGTTGATGTGAAACAGGTAAAAATAGATGTAAATAGTAGCAATTTAAAAAATAAGCAGAGTGCATATCATAACTTCTCAGTATACTGGAAAAGCAGCAATAAATATGAACTTATTTTATTCAAAACTACACATAAAAAAGCTATTAATAAATACATAATTATTTTAAAATGCTTTCTTTTGAACTCTTGCTTTGGTCTTATTATAATGACCTTATAAAATTTATCTTTGAAATAAAAAAAGACTAGTTCTAAACAAGAAAATTAGGCACGAAGATGACATGCCTAGGTCTTAGTGAAGGTAGAAGCCAGATCTCTACAGAGTGAAGTGAAAGAGAAGCCAGCTGAGTAGAGGAGACAATAAGAGAGAACAATCCATTAGAGGAGATCACTGTTGACGTTTGGCATGTAAGAAGACGGCCCAGTATTGCCAGACCTTCTGTTTTCTCAAGAGAAGATAAAAACCTAGATTTTAAAACTATAAACTCTTCTTGGCAACTCATCTAAAGTTTTCAAAAATACTGTGGAATTTAAAACATGTATATAAGTAAAAACGGTTCCTGAACTGCCAGTTTACAACTTCTGGCTGAATTCCATGTTTTCTTCCATTTTCAATGTGTACAGGCTATAGAACGCCTATATAACTTATAATGTTATTATTAGGCTTAGGTTAATGATACATTTTGCTCTACTAAGCACAGAAATAACAAGTAATAAATAAAATAATTTCTTCCTGAACTGATAATCAAGGTATTATGTTTATTTTTATAAGATTCTTGTGAATAAAATTGCTCTAAATTTCCACAGATCTTACTGGGAATTTTTTTTCATTACTACCCAATATAGTTCTTTCCCCATCTCTTTATTGCAATGCTTTGGAATTTAATGCAGTTTTCATGCATCAGGTTTTAAACAGAGAACCTGAGTCTTTTATTTATACAATTTTAGCATTAATTATGTAAGGCAGTATTTGATAGGCAGGACATATAAATGCTATGGTATATTCCTTAGCCCACTATGCTATATGATAATAATACAAATAAATTTATTCTTCTTTTATTGTTGAAGATGTGTTCAGCTTCCTCCACTACAATAGGTTTTTAGAAGAGGTAATGTTACTATTTCAAGAAGGGATTTAAGATTGAATTGAAGTTCACATTATCAGTTACCTTCATTTAAAGCTCATTATGAATTTAGGGTTAATTTACTAAGCACCCAATTATCAAGATGCTAGTGATTAAATCTGTGAACTATTTCAGAGACTTACTTCTACAGTAAGACAAAAACAATCCCAAGTGTATATGTATCTAATAAAAGCAATTCAAAATACATGAAGCAAAACCTTCAACCACACATAAAAAGAAAAGCCGTAAAATGCTTGAAGATTTTAAGACACTTCTCTAAGGAACTAATTAAAAAAACCAAAGCAAAAGAAAATCATAAGGATTATATAAAAGACCTGAACAATATTATGTCAGCTTGACATGATGATCATATAGAACACAATATCCAAAAATTGGAGAAAATACATCCTTTTCAAGTATACATAGAACATTCATCAAACTGGACAAGAAGCTGTATCATAAAACAAATTTTAACTAATTTTAAAAATTTAAATCATGTAGACTATTACTGATCATAATATAAATAAATTATAAATCAATAACCAAAGAATCTAGAAAATTTTAAATTATTTAGAAATAAAAATAACATAGCTTTAAATAATACATGGGCCAAAGAAGAAATCACAATTTAAATAAAAAAATATTTTTAATTGAAGGAAATAAAAATAAATAGAATTTTGGGAATGCAAGATAGCAAAATAAACCCCTCAACCAAAATAATAATAAGAGCGAAAAACTAATTAGAAAAAAGGATAAAAACTTTTTTTCCTTTGAAAAGAGTAATAAAATTGATAAACTTCAAGCAAGACTGATCAAGAAAAAGAGAGAGGATACGTATTATCAATATCAGAAATACAATAGTATATATCACTACAGATCCTACAGATATTAAACAGGATAATAAGAGAATGTTATGATAGTTTTCTGCCAATAAATTGGCAACATGGAAGTAATATACATTTCTTGAAGACAAACTCAAAAACTGACATAAAAATAAAAAATGTGAATAACTCTGTATCTATTAATGGAGTTGAGTTTAAAATTAAAAAAAAATTCTTTTCACAAAGAAAATACTGAGCCTAGATGGTTTAATTAGTAAAATCTGTTCTAAGGAGGAAATATTATCAACCCTACGAACACTTTCAAAGTAAATAAGAATTCTATTTCTGGAAGCCAGATTAACTTTGACACCAAAACTTGTCAAAACCATGAGAAGAAAAAATTTACAAATAAATATTCCTTATGAAGATAGATGCAAACATCCTTAATTAAATATAAGCTATTAAGCCCAATAACATATAAAAAAGGTCATCAACACCTGGGGTTTAATGTGAAAAGCAAATGTTGGTTTGGCATTATAAAATCTATCAACTAAGTCACTCTATTAACAGAATAAAGAAGAAAACACATAAAATTGACACATGCATAAACTGTACTGAAGGGCCAAGTCAGTTAATTAAGGGAAGAAAATAAAATAAAAAGGCAAAAGATTGGGAAAAAAATAGTACCTATCTCCAGATAGCATGACAATTTACCAAGAAAATTCTAAACAATCTACAAAACAAATATTAGAACTTGTAAGGAAATTTAGAAGGGTCACAGAATATGTAAGTTAATATATAAAAATCAATCTTATTTGTATATATTAGAGCAAACTATTGAAAATGAAAAATTTTAAATCTTTATTTACAATATTGTCAAAATCATAAATTGCTCAGGAAAAGATTTACTAGAAGATGTGCATGACCTTAAACCTAAAACTATAAAACACAGCTGAGAGAAGTTAAGTAAAACATGGAGAGAGATACCATGTTCATAAACTGGAAAATTCAATAGTTAGCATAGTAGTTCACCCTCTATTGATGCATAGATTCAACAGGACAACAATCATAAGTCCAACATGTCCTTCTGTAAAAATTAACAACTGACTCTAAAACTTATGTGGAAATGCAAAACCCTTAGAATATCCAAAGAGCTCTTGAAAAAAAGACCCAAGTAGAAAAGCTTATACTACCTATGTTCAAGACTATACAGTTAAAGTAATTAAGTCAGTATGACACCAGGATAGGACTGACAAATACATCAATCAAACAAAACAGAGTCTGTAAATATACTACAAATATATATCATACCCCCAAATTATTTTTAGAGTGTTGATCTAAAGACCAAAAACATAAGGTTTTAAAAGAAAACATAAAAAAATATCTTCCTGAATTAAGGGAGGCAAAGATTTCTAGGACAGGACAGAGAACACAATGACTATAAAATGTTTAAAAGCTGAAAAATTAGAAGTCATCAAAATTAAAATCATATTCATCCAAAATATTATTTAAAACATAATGAAAAGTAAAGTAAAAGTCAAGAAATATTTTCCCTTAAGCTATGAGAAAATACTTATAAAATTTATAAATGAACCACTTGAAAATAAAAAGATAAATATCCAATTTAAAAATAAGCAAAGGGTTCGAACAAACATTTTATAAGAGAAGATATAGAAATGCTCAATAAGCACAAGAAAATGTGCTCAACACATTCAACAGTCAGAAAACGCAAATTAAAACTTCATTGAGACAACATTATAATAGACCCAAAAGAAGACTGCGAACACCAAATGCTGGCAAGCGTGAGGAGCAAACAGAACTCTCATACATTGCTGGTAGGAGAGTGCTTGGTACAGTACTTTGGAAAAACATCTGCAAGTTTCTTTTAAAACTAAACTCACAGCTATCCTATGGCCAGCAATCCCACCCCTAAATATTTACCTAAGAAAAATGAAAACTATGCCCGTAAGAAGACATACACAAATGTTTACAGCAGCTTATTGATAGCAGCTGAAAACTAGAAACAATATAGGTTTCCATCAATAGCAGAATGGAAAAACAAACTGGTTAGTACAATGGAATACTGCTCAGCAATAAAAAAGAATGAACTAATTACAGTTGCAATGATATGGATGGATCTCAAAAACATCAGGCTTAGAGAAGCCTTACATAAGAGTAAATATGGCATGATTTTATTTACACAAAGTTCTGTAACAGACAAAACTAATTGATAGGGGAAAAAAAGTTAGAACTGGTTGTCTCTTGTAAGTAGGTGGAGCCAGTTGCTGAATAAGAAGGATGAGGACTATGAGAATTTTGGAGGCAGTGGTAAAGTTCTATAACTCAGTAAGGTTTTATAGGTGCACATGTTTGTCAAAACTCAGGGAAAGTATAGTTAGGTAGGTTAAGATCTGTGTGCTTCACTGTACATAATCTTCCCTCAAAAGAAAAATAAATATTGAACTGCAGTTAATCTTATGCATGCTGAAGTATTTAGAGAGGAAAGTATAGAGAGGAAAGCATTACTTTGAAATGCACCTGAAAAACAGAATAAATTAATGAATGGATAAAGAGATGACTAGACATGTAATAAGTATATTAAAATATTAATGATAGAATCTTGGTGGTACATATACAGTTGTCACTGAAAAATTATTTTAACATTGCTCTGTGTTGGAAAGTTTTCAGAGTAGGATGTTGAGGGAATTTCCTGGTGGTCTAGTGGTTAGGACTCAGCACTCCCACTGCTGGGGCCTGAGTTCAATCCCTGCTTGAGGAACTAAAATCCCCTAGCTGCATGGTATAGCCAAGAGAAAAAAAAAAGTAAGATGTTGGAAAAACAATAAATAAAAGTTTTTTTAAAGAGTACATTTTATTTTTCTAAGAGAAAATTTGAACAAATTTTAGTTTGTGCTTTGGGAGCATAAGAAAACTTGTGCTTACTGAGCAATTAGGTCTGATGCTTGCCTAAATTAGAGCAAAACATGTTTCCCTAAAAAAGAACAATAATCACCTGTGTAAAGATCCTTGGCCTTCCATTCAAAGGGCTGGATTAACAATAAAAATAACAATAAAAATAATAGCCAACATTAAAAAAAAAAAAAAAGATTCTTGGCCTTTGGCCAAGAGAGAAACACATTTTCTTAGCTTCTTTTGAGCTGATTTATATCAGGGTGACATTTCCAAATATTTGATAATTATAAATTATTATAATGTCTATACACCTCAAGGAAGTCTCAAGAATTCAGAAATATTTGGATTTACACCCTTTCTAGGAACTCTGTATCTAAATAGAATTAGGTTTTAAAAAATGATTTCTGATCATTTGTACTAACATATTAACTTTACTACAGGGAAACTATTAATAAAACAGGAGACCTTTTTAGTACTAGAGCACTTTCCTGCTTTGATTTGTAAACATTAATTTTTATTAGTCTGTATATGAATGTATGGGTATGTTTGTATGTATTTATATATTCTCTTATATTTGCAAAGCTCTCAACCATAATGAAAACTCTGCCAGGTTATACATTACCTCCAGTATAGGGTTTCCAGTTATAATACTTTCCACGGAAAGGCATATTGTCAAAGTCTGCACATTGTTTCTCTCGAAAATCTCGGGCCCCCAAAGGACATGGCTAAAATAAAATAAAATAATAAATAGCATGATTTTTGAAAAATACCAAAACCAAGGGACAATGCCCCTATAATTAAAAATGTCTGAACTCCCAACACATTAGCTCACTCCCTTATTCTTGGGCTATAATTCTGTCATTTGCTTTACTGTTTTACAACCAGTATTCTGACTGAAGTGTCTGAATTGTAATCTTAGCCACAGAAGAAATAACTGAAGTAATTTAAACAAAGTTAAGTGTTAGACAGTTTCCATATAACTTTACACTCAGATGCATGTCATAGTCCACTTTGCAATCAATCAATTTAATTAGGTATCTCCTTATAAACAGATGTAAAAACTAGGTGAAGAAACTAAAACACAAAATCCTTTTTGGTAACAGTATTTGAAAAGTCCAGTTGCCACAACTACTCCCAGCTCTTTATTTTAAGAAATCAAGAGGCAGGTTTGTAACATGACATTCAGCACTATTAATTGTGGTTTGGATCTCAACTACTATAGCTGTTTACTGTCTAGTCCTGACAAAAACCATATTTTGAGATGTGGAATGAACTGGGCAAAATCCTAGGCCTCAAGTCTAAACACCTTTAAATCAAGGAATTTGGACTTATTAAGATTTACGTTAAATCTATTTACATCACGGAAAATAAAATTTTCAGAACATGTACATGTGTTGGTTGTTGGAGAAGAGAAGGATGTTAAGAGAGTGAAGAGAGGATTATTTGTTTTTAAAAGATTGGAAAGCTTTTTCTACCTAAGTTTTTTAGAGAAGAAAATCTTGCCAATCTAGCTAGGTCTAGATTCCAAATTACACATTATTTAGGGCCATCCTAAACTTAAAAGTTCACAAAGAATTAAAAATATAACTTCTCATAATGTTAAGGAAATATGACCTAATTTGACTTATCTTTTAGAGTTCTGTACCAGTAGCATCTAAAAAACTAAGGATTACTTTTGAAACAGGGATGGAGAAAATATTTCCCTTAAACATGACAGAACAAAACAAGTTATTAGATGAAATTCTCAACTGTGAACAAATATGTTACATTCTCAGAGATCATTTTGAGGACATTTTACTACCCTCCCTTAGATCTCTACATTTCCTTGATACAGTTTTCTGAGATCAGAACATTGCAAATGTCCTTTAAATCAAGTGCAAAAAATAATAAGGCTACAATGTGCAAACATGTGCAAGGTCATCATTACTTGCTATATACTGAGGTTTGAAATTCCACCATATCAAGTTTAAAGCCTCAGATGCTGAAAGTAGTGGCAGTAGGTCTACATTCTGTTATGAGCCTTGCATTTTAAGATATTTTCTGCACATTAAAATATGATACTGCAATGCTAAATCCAATGGTTTTACTTATCAAATTATCCTTCATATTTGCCCTTTAAAAAAAATGAAAAAGAACTATTCACATAGGCTTTGCAATGCATCACACTAGAAAGATATGCTTCCACCATCTTTTGTTTTATGGTGTGCTAGTTTTTGTAATAAAGAAAAGCTTCCCATTACAAGGCATTTTCAGGAAACCCCAGAAAATGACCAAGGTTACCAGTGGCTTTGTATGCAGCAAGACTAGTTTTAAAGAAAACATCCTCAATTTTACCAAACACAAGTAATTTGAAATACAAAAAAAAAAAGAAAGAAAAGAAATACAAGTTTTCACACAATACTTAAGAATTTGTATTCAACCACCTAAAAACTTCATCCAGGCATGTCTTTCAATCTATTTGGAGTAAAATATAAAAATGGAAAAACTACAATCCTATCTGAGGCAATAAGTATATGACAGCACATTATGTTGTCTACAGGTGCTGTATATAGGCGAAGGACTGAAGTGTCAAATGCATCAGGGAAATATTTGTTGAGGAAGAAAATCTTGAGTGCATCATAAGAATTATAATAAAAGTGTCATACATACTTACTCTTTATAACATTATAAAATATTAAAATATTATAGGAATTGAGCTGCTTAAGAAAGAAAACAGACTTCTATTAAGAATGAAGCCAGGACTTCTCTGTGGTCCAATGGTTAAGACCGCACATTCCCAATGCAGGGGAGCCAGGTTCAGGGAACTAGATCTCATACGCTGCAACAAAAGATCCCATGTGCCACAACTAAGACCCAGCATGGCCAAAAAAAAAAAAAAAAAAAGAATTAAGCCAAGTAAAGCCATGGGGAAAGAAAAGAAAAGGTCAATTTTGGGAATAGTTGGATAAAGGCCATCCTGGATGAAAGAAAGGAACTGTATAGAAGCATATAAGTTAACATTTCACAGATAAAAATTGGTTTTAAAAAAAAAGCCCTGAAATAATAAATGAAGTTGAGGGACACTCACTTCAAAAAAAAACAAAAAAGAAACAAAAATCCTATTCTTGACCATCTTGTAACATCCTAAACAGCAGAGAAGTAAAAAGTCCAAAAGAAGAATATTAGTTTAATGACATATTTGGATAACATTTCATAAGATTTCTGACCTATTCTTTTCTTGTGATAACCACTCCCAGGGTCAGCATAATAAAAATATTAACAGTAAACATACTTACGTTTTTCTGAGCATTTAGTAAGTACCTATTCCATGGCACACTGTTCAGAGGTCTCTAGATCTATTATAAGTTCTCTCACCACTCTTGAGGTGGTTATAATTAGAAATCCCAATTTACAACTGAATAAATTATATTTTATTACAGTCTGCTTAGTAATAGTTTCAATGTGCAAAGACACTTCCTTCATCTGAGTGGGGGCTTCCACTGGACTCTGTAAATGCTACAATAACAACATAGGTCTTTAGCTCTTACAATGTACAAAAACCTAATAAGAGTAACTTGGGTTCTAGACCTAGCCTTGTCTTTACCAGCTGCAAGTTTATCTGCTCTAACTACTTTTTTCTTATTTATAAAATGAGAGGGTTAAAGTATGAATTTTCAGACAGAAGACAGACAGACTTAGATTTGATTCTAACTGATTTATTTCATTTACTGCCTTCAGCAATGTACTCAACTTTCCAGGTCTCATCTATAATCTAGGGATAATTCTAGTATTAACTGTAGGTGAGGATTTATGTAAACTGTTTAGTTCTATACCTGGCAGTGGCTCAGTTCAGTTCAGTCGCTCAGTCGTGTCCGACTCTTTGCGACCCCACGGACTGCAGCACGCCAGGCTTGTGTGTCCATCACCAACTCCTGGAGCTTGCTACCTGATGGTGGTAGCACTAGCAGTTGCGTGATCTTTGGTCTAGGCATCCTTAGACTCACTCCTCACCCTCCTGTTGGTCTGCTCTTTATTCCAGGGGGACAAATCTGCAGGCTCTATTTCATAGGATTCTGTCAGTTGCCTTCTAGTTGAGTTCAGGCACTAGTGGGAGAAGCCAGGGTATTTCATTTCTTCTCTACCTCCGGCAGCATCTTAGGCAGAAGCAGAGTACTTTTGTGGCTTCAACATCAAATAGCCACCCTTACCCTCAATCCTATGGTTCCAGATTCAGCTGTGTGATTTCAGTCTCTAGTATGTAATAAAACTACCTCCTTCCTGTTTTTCTGGTAGAAGGGGTGGTATATTTCTGCTGATGCTGATCTATGGGCTTGTCAGCCTCTTCCATTATTCATGTAACCAATCCTTTGCATTAAATTCCCTCAATTCAAATATTCAGAGGTTCGTATTATGGTTGGATCTTCACAGATACTACAGTTGATGATGATGATGATGATGAAGAGGAATAATAAGAAAAAAAAGAGAAGAAAAAGGAGGAAATGATAGTAATGGTATTGGTACTTGGGAGACTGAATAGAGATATGTTTCCTTGGATTATATTTTGCAATTTATTGGCTAAGGGCAGAGATTGGCACAGTTCTGTCAAGGGCCACACAGTAAATATTTCAGACTTCGTGGGCCGTATAATCTCTGTTGCATGTGTGCGTGCTCGGTTGCTTCAGTTGTATCTGTTCTTTGAGATCTGTGTCTGACTTCTTGTTACTGACCAAAATAAAAGATGCCCAGGGAATTTTACAAATAAACAAACATTTTATTTTTCTAATGTACTAATCCAGTGGAATCTTTCCCTCTTTTAAAATATTTCAACATACATTGTGTTAGTCGCTCAGATGTGTCCAACTCGTTGTGACCTCAGGGACTGTACCACCAGGCTCCTCTGTCCATGGAATTCTCCAGGCAAGAATACTGGAGTGGATTGCCATTTCCTCCTCTAGGGGATCTTCCTGACCCAGGGACTGAACTCGCTTCTCTTGTCTCCTGCATTGGCAGGCGGGTTCTTTACCACCAGCACCACTTGGGGAGTCTATATCACCTGTTACAACTACTCAAATGTGCCATTACATTTTTTAAAGAAGACATAGACAATATGTAAATGATAGGGCTGTGTTCGACTAAAATCTTATTTATAAAAAGAGGTGATGGGTCAAATTTGACCCAGCAGGCACAATTTGCCAATCCCTGATTCAGGATGTTAACATATAGATACATCTGTATGTCAGCATTGTGCAGAAGAACCAAGCTCAATTATTAATTTTTGAGTCAATACAGAATCATACACTTTAAAGAACTGATGTCAGATTATAAAATAATTTGCATAAAATGCTTAAACTTCCTGTACAATTATCCCCACAGGGGTCATACACTCTGTATAATCTACAGAAAGATACATAAAATACTTTTCAGATGACCACAATTATTCTCCAGCTCTTTCTTTCAGTCAAAATCTGTTTTCCTACAACCCAGTGGTCTTGTGCCTCTCTTCTGAACAAATCTAATCCCTGACTGAAAGGTATCTAGACCTTGATGGCTTTCTTATGGGGACATAATAAATTATCATTAGTACTTTTAAAACCAGGCACCAAGAACTGGCCTTAAGGGTCTTTTTTTATATTCAGCAAATATATATAAAAAAATATTTTATGTATCACATATGATCTAGGCTCTGGAGATAATGCAGTACATAAAACAGAATAGGTCCCTGCTTTCATGGAGCTCACTGTAGTTG